ATATATATATATATTATACTCAGCGCTATGCAATTATTTTGTGCAATTCTTTGCGCTGGTTTTCTTTTCCTTTCTGTTCCCTCATTCAAATCCTCATAAACTATCTCTCAGTAGCCAATATAGCTCCACAAGTGTCAATTTAATAAACTATTGACTATTTAAATACTGTCACTCTTCTTAAGCATAACAAGAATAGCTATTCTAAATGAAAACTGTTGGCTCTGAAATTTGTTCATTAATTCTTCTGCAGATTTGAGGATGACAAACAAGTTTCTGGTCCTTTTGAGGACCTCTGGGAAGAAAGCACAAGTGGTGAACGAATAACACTACAGTTGTATTTGGGGGAAATCATTTCACTTGTTTGTGAGAGCATTACATCATCTTCATGGGCAAGTAAAAGAAAAGTAAGTTTTCTCTTCCTTCTTCTAGTCCTATTTTCTGCTAGCTTTGCTTTGCTTCTTTGTTTATGCTAATCGAAGATGTTTGTTTGCATTTTGCGCCTATAGTCAGCTCAGGCAATCTGCAAGCTTAGTGAAGTTCTGGGCGATTCCTTGTCTTCTTATCATGATGTTCTCCTGAAATCTCTTATGAAGGAAATTCCTGGTCGTTTATGGGAGGTAGGAATACCTAAATTTTATTTTGTTATTTCATTGTTTATAACTGTGTGAGATGTGTTAGGATTCTTGTAGGATTTGCTGTTGTAATAATAGTTTACATCACTATAATTTCAATTTTCAATATACCAGGGGAAGGAGACACTATTACATGCAATAAGTGCTCTTTCTACATCCTGCCATGAAGCAATTTCCACTGAAGACCCTGCTCTTCCCGGTACTATTCTGAGTCTGGTGTCTTCTGCGTGTACAAAGAAAGTCAAGAAATACCGTGAAGCTGCTTTTTTTTGTCTTGAACAGGTAAACATCTACCAATGATTATTCAAGGATTTCATTATTCAATTGCATTTTCAACCTATTCATAAACTCTGGTTCTGGCCTTCTGGTAGTTGTTCAAATGCTTTTCTGTTATTATTATTTGACAATTATTTTGTTTAATGGTATCTCTTGTACAATTCTTCATCTATCCTTAAACCATTTTTAACAAATGTACGTAAATTTTTGGTGGGGATCTCTCTCAAAACTTGAGGCTTAGCTTTTGACCCTTTTTTCCCATTTTTTCTGTGAATTTTCCACTCAGCCAAAGATAGGATGTGTTTCATTGTTGGAATGGTTCAGTCCATGACTTTTTAGTCTTGTGTCATGTAAATGAATTATTTTGGTAAAACCAGTATTTCCTTATCCTGTGACTTTGTTCTTTATTTGAATAATGAATTGAAAAAAAAAAAAAAGACTTGGTTTTCATGAAAAACAATGAAGTCTCTTACTGCCATTTTTTGTGGCATGCAGTGACTTGTTATTAATAACTAATAACCTTTAATCAAGTTGTATGAGGAAAAAGGAATTAATGTAAATGATCCAGACTGGTTTGGGAGCAATGTGGTGTTGAAATGTGCTTGGAACATAAATTTATATAAGAAAGATACATAGGAATATGATATCCCTTGCAAGAAAAATTCTGTTGTCAGAGAGCGTTTTTCCTTCTATGATTATTAACTATCAGGAGATCTTCTAATTGATCTTTCTCTTTGGTGAGAAATATCTTACATAACTCCAATAATTTCTTTTGATCTATGGTGTGTTTTTTTTTTCTAATATTTACTTCTTGATCTCTGATGTGGCTTGTATCTAATTCAGAATGTTTCTGGTTATTCCAATGATGATATTGAAAATTAGTTCTTTGAACATATGCTCAGGTTATAAAATCCTTTGGTAATCCAGAGTTCATTCATCTTGTATTTCCAATGCTATTTGATATGTGTAACTTGGCTTTTCCCAATAAAACTGGACGAGCACCTTTGGCAAGTGACACAACTAAAGCAGGTTTTTTTCAAAAGCTTACTTTACTTTGTTTGCTAGATTATACATGTATGTAGTTCTTAAGAATTGTGAAATCATATAAGTTCAATGTACAGCTCTTTTACTTCTTATTCATTGTAATTTTTTATAGTTCTTGTTGCAATTAAATGTTAGTCTACTTTTACCTATGAAAACAGCTAAGTACACTCCAAAGTTGTTCATCAATTTATTATTACCAAATACCTGTTTGTTGTTCTTTCTTATAATTTTCTCACTTCAGCAGAATTCACCTTTCTTCTATCCTGCATTTTCCTCAGGAGGATGTATTATTAACAATTTGGCTGGGAAAAACAAGAATAGAAGTGTTTGTGCATTGCATGTAGAAAATACTATCAAATCATAAACAGATTTTGCTAAGCAAAATTTGTTTTTTCAACTTAACGGTGAATTCTGGATTTCCTCATATTGATATCCTTATTGGAAGGACCGGTGGAACAATGACCTTTCAGATATTAATGCTAGATTGCTAGCGGTTGGGCCAAAGGCTCTAAATAGCATTTTCTAGGCTTCTTTTGGGGTGCATACCAGGCATGGCATCACTTTGCCTAAATGTTAAGTATTATCATTACTTTAAAGATGAACGCATTTGGTGATAAACTGACCCTTAAGTTTCTTTGAATCACATTGAATGGTAACTTTCTTCTGAGTTTATCACCAGTAATTTTTTCTAGTTTGTAACCACAGTTTCAGGTTAAAAGTTGTTTTACTTCATGTATTCATGCTTGTCCCACTTCAACGAGTTAGAACAATTATAAAATGCAAAACTGAATAGAGGCTTTCTACATGTTTGCAGAATCTGATGAAGCTGAAGATGTTTCTGTTCCAGTTGACAAACTGATGAACTGCATCACATCTTGCATCCAGGTGGCATCTGTAACTGACATTCTTGAACACAAAAAGAAGTTGACGGATGTGTTCTTGATTTCCCTGTCACCTGGTTTTCCATGGACAGGTATCTTGTCCTTGTGTTTTCTGTTATATGTGTTTGATCCAAAAAATCGTTATCTTTACTGATCTAGCTATCATGAGCAGTCAAAATCTCAGCATTTTCTTCAGTAAAAGAACTTTGCTCAAGGCTTGGCACTAATTTGGATGACTCTCAAGAAACCTCTTTATATGCTGGCAGAACTGCTTTCGTCGAGGAGGTATCAAGAACCTACTTCATTCGCTTTATATTTAATTGAAGTAGCCGCTCTCTTATTTTTAATCTCTCCTTGTTATTTTCAGCTGTTCGATTCTGTGTCACCTAAAGTAGTCGAGTGTATAAGCACGATAAAAATTTCTCAGGTATGTAATCTGTTTTTCCTTGTTTTGTATCTATATGATTTGCTCCTTACAGATTCTTGTAAAGGTTCATCCAAGGAGCAGTCTCTGTAGGTTACTTTTCTTTTGTCAGCTTTGTGCAACCTACATAGGCATTTAGAATCTGTGTCTATGTGGAATAAATTCTCTTTCCACATTTTTTGGGATTTTGATCGTCAGTTTTACTCTATAATTATAATTGTTCAAAAACATATTTTTAAATGTTAGTATTTCTTTTACGATAAAATTGCCTTTGTAGGCCATATTTAATATTATTGGAATTGAATACTTGCTCATTTTTACATTTTTTGGTTCTCATGATTAACTTGAATTGGAAACCTAGGTTCACATTGCTGCTTCAGAGTGCCTTGTAGAAATCACCCAGTTGGGCAGATATATTTCAGCAGCAAAATGGACAGACATTGAAATAAAGGGTGAAGTTATGCAGCTACTTGAGATGGAAAAGAACGAGCAGGCAAAATCCATGTTGAAAAAGTGCCTCGACATCCTTGAAAAACTCCAACAAGCAAATGCTGAAGCAAGCTGAACCAACATGTATGGATGACTGTCCAAGAATGTCTTCAATCAGACATCAAATGTGGCTGAAATTCCGAAATGTAGAGCAACAAAGAAAAACAAATTGGGAATAGGAACATTTGACAATCTTCACACTAGCCAATTTATGTAGACTAGAAAATGAAATTCAATCACAGTAACAAGTAAAAATATAATAGATTGAATTCAAGTTGATATAATATTAAGTTCGAATTTAAATTTTATTCTTAATTGGAGATTCAAAATTTTGCTTGAATTCGATTTAAAATAGAAATCAAATTATTCAAACTCTCGATTAAATTTGATTAATATATAAAAATAAGTTTAATTTTTATATTTAATAAAATTCAGTTATTTATGTTTGAATTCAAGTTTAAAATGTTTTATTAATAAAAATAAAAATATATTTAAATATAAAAATTTAATTCAATTTCGAATTATTTAAATTGAAAATAAAAATATTTGAATTCAATTTGATTTATAAGTTAAGTTATTTGAATTTGATTTAATAATAATTGAATCGAATTTTATTTAAGTTGAATTCGAGTAGTTAATGAGTATTAATATATTATTTATATTTATTTTAACTCGTTTTTAAGATAAAATAAACTTTTTTTTGGCGTTATTTTTACTCTGAAAACTGCATATAGTAGTCTAATTCCTTGACTCGAAAAAACTTTGTTAGAAGAAAAATGAAATTTTGCACTGTTTTTAATATTAATTTCTGTTATATTAAATTCTCCATTTTTAAACTTCTTACTCACCCTGTGTACAGGTAGAATCTTATCATTTAAAATTTCCAACTTATAAAATTATTCTGCAAAAAATATATATATATATACCGTTATGCTTCCATTTTCTTTTCAAATTTGTAGGACAACTAAAAAATGATATGTTCGGTTGAGTTCAATTTAGTTTTTTCTTGTTCGGCTTTGATTTAGATATTAAATGTTTTAATTTGGATTTAGAATTGATTTTTACATCATAAAATAAAAATTTGAAAATATTTAAATTGAATTAAATTATTTTTTAAAATTTTATAAAATAAAAATAATTATTTATTAATATTAATATTAATATAAAACTAATAAAATAATAATAACTAAAAAATTTAATTTTTGAAAAGCTGATGAATCAAATTAAATTTGGATGGACTTTTAAAAATTCAAAATTAACCAAAATAACTGAAGTGAATGAGATCCCATGATTATTACAGTAATGATGAACACCGTACGATGAAGGATATTTTAGTTTTAGGCAAAGCCAAAGCGGCTTTTCAAACTCGTCTTTCTATCCGGGAAAGCAGAGTACAAGGTTTGAGGTTTCTGTCCTCGTAGTAAAGAAAGCCATGAGTTTCAGTTTGGCGCGTTTCTTTCTCCATCTCCGTTTGGGTGTCTCTTCAAATACTGCAACTACCAGAACTAGAAAAAGCTTTGGTTATCTACTTTTAGCCCCCAAGGCAACGAAATTTACCACCACTGCCATCCACAAAGACAAATCCCAGAAAGTAACTGACACATTCTTGCTGTTTCTTTTAATTGCTATATATTATTATATCTGTTTTTGGGTTTTCTTAAGTTTTTGATTTTTCATAATGGGACATTCAAAAGTCAAGTGAGGAGGAGGAGGAGGAGAAGCTGTTGGTGGTTGTAGGTGGTGGGGCTGCTGGAGTTTATGGAGCAATTAGAGCAAAAACTGTTGCTCCTAATCTTAATGTGTTGGTCATTGAGAAAGGAAAGCTTTTATCAAAGGTTTTTAGTTTCTTTTTTCTTAAAATAAAAATACCCAAGTTGGTGAAATATGCAAAATTTCAGCTTTTCAACTGTTCGTGTTTATTGGCAGGTAAAAATTTCTGGGGGAGGAAGGTGCAATGTCACCAATGGCCATTGTGCTGACAATTTAGTAAGATTTTTTTTCTTTGTAATAGTAACATGCATATGAATTTGTTTTTTAAATTATCTTTTGAAGGAGGAATTTGCTTCTGAACAGCTTTAGACAAGGATTATTTATTCTTTCATAAATGATGAGATTAATCCCTTCAAAGGTTTTGGCAGATCATTATCCTAGAGGTAACAAAGAATTGAGAGGATCTTTCTTCAACATGCATGGCCCTGTGGATACCATGTCCTGGTTCGTTGATCGAGGGGTGGAACTAAAGGTTGTTTTCAAAGCTGTGAATGTCTTCCTCTTTTTTCTTTTTTGAAAAAAAAATTATTTTACAATTGCAATTTATAAATTTCTGTCACAGATTGAGGATGATGGAAGAGTGTTTCCTGTTAGCAACAATTCTTCTTCAGTCGTTGATTGTCTTATATCTGAGGCAAAGTGTAGGGGAGGTATCTTTATTGGTTTATCTTTTGCTGAGTAAGAAAGAAATCATGGGGGAGAGTTTCTTTGTTAAATGTGAAAAGAAAAAACCTTGATTGCATCTCTATACTCTACGTTAAATGATCATTTTGGGGCATTCTTACTAATCTCAAAGTTATAGTTGTTATTTGTTGATAATGAAAATCCAACCTGTCATAAAGGAGTTATATGTGTGAATAAATAAACGGTAATAGCACTTTATTTGGTGCCTTTAGGTCATGTTTGGTTCACATAATTATGATAGGATAGGATAAGATGAGATTATGAATAGGATTAGATTAAATAATGTCATCCTATCTTATGTTTGATGTGTGCAAGGATTAAGATAGGATAATTTATTTATTGGTCAAAATTATCCTTCCTCAAAGTTTAAATAATTTAAATTATTGATGTAATTTTTAAGTGTATAATAGGACATGTAAGTTTAATCCCATGGAATCCTCTCCACTTTGGAAGGATTAAATCATCCTATACCAAGAGGATAATAATCCTCTTTGTAATATTATCCCTTTCAATTAGATACAAACCAAACATAATATAGAATGATTATCACACTTTCATATCCATCATCCTATACACCAAACATGACCTTAATAGATGGTAATCAGCCTTTGCTGCTAGATATAGTGCATGCTGCTTGTAGCCTAAGCCAGAAAGAAAAGAAATTGTTCGTAAGTAATGTTGTAGGTGAAATCCATCCATGATGTTATAGCATATTAAACAAGCTGACATTGCTAAAATGGTTGTATTTCCTTGGACCAGTTTCTTTGCAAACTGGGAAAGCTGTGACAGGTGCATCTGCTAGTGCCAGTGGAAAATTCCTTCTCAAGGTTGAGAAGCGTACGCTCAACTCTGTTGAACATGTAGAAGCTGATTATTTGTTGATTGCCAGTGGAAGTAGCCTGCAGGTGTGGATGGATGATGGTTTATCATCAAGGCCATCTTTGGGCATCAAGTGTTTTGATAAATGATTTTGCTCATGTCACAGGGTCATAGTCTTGCACTTCGGCTTGGTCATTCCATCATAGATCCAGTGCCAAGCTTATTCACTTTTAAGATTGAGGATTCACAATTGACAGCTTTGTCAGGGGTAACATTCCTCCACGGCTGTTTAATACCCTCACTATCTTACCTTTTATAACAGTTAATTACACTCTCTCATATATTTACTCATGTAACAGCATTTAGATGGTTCTTTACTCTTATTTGGCAACCAATAATAGAAGCTTTTGTCCAGCTTGTACACATTGTCCTATTATGATAAACTCCACATCTGGGAATTAGGAATTAAATTGTTGTGTTATTGTGCTATGTAGGAAAATGTTGCTAGGAAAACCCATGATTCTATTTGAGTACTTTTTCTATCATTCATTTGGTTATTACTTGAATTTTCACGAAATGTATGTTGATTTTATATGGCACAATAGTAGTGCTTGCGATGGGTATCTAAATTCCCTGTTTTTCCACAGATTAGTATTATTCTGGTGTCTTTGAAAACCAAAATGGCACAGTATTTGAAATTGATGTCCATTATCATATCTCCAAAACTTTTTTTTCCTATGTTCTTAGGTTACATTTTCAAAAGTTGTTGCGAAGCTGAAATTAGAAGATGTTCAAAGGAACATACCCCAACTTACCCAGGCATGCTTTTTCTGATATTATCATATTAAAGCTCACCTTTGAGTAGTATATAACCACTAACTGGTGTTTCTGGAATATTAGGTTGGCCCCATGTTAGTCACACACTGGGGTCTCAGTGGACCAGCAATTCTTAGGCTATCTGCTTGGGGTGCCCGATATCTGTATAGCTCAGGTTACAAAGGTGGGTACATTTCATTATGCCCATAATACAAAATTTATGGTTGATCTCCTAAATTGATAGCGTTTGGATGCAGGGAAACTAATTGTGGATTTTGTACCCGATTTGCATATAGAAGATCTAAAATCCATGCTGAGTCAACACAAAAATAGGTTTCCGGTAATTCAGGATCTACTTATTCTTGGTCTTCATGCATACAGTTGGAACTGTGAATCAGTTCGTTTAGCACTAGGTCTGAGTAATTATTCAAGTTATGTCTATAACTTGAATCAGGATGCAACATAATATATCTTTGTCCTGAATGCTTTTGTATAGCAAAAGTTATGTCTAGATGCCACTCCTAAATAGAGATTAGTTATTGGTTAAAAACTTAAATTAGATTTGATATCTCAATTTTCTATTCTAACTAGTAGCAGTCTTTTTACTTAGTTATCTTATGTTACTTCTGATTGTATGGGCTTGATAGTGTATCATAACAATATACCTTTTTATGATGTTAATTGCTTGTTTCTTTATCCATCTCTGTCCAGAAACAAAAGGTGCACAATTCATGTCCTACAGAATTAGGACTTGTGAAGAGATTTTGGAAATATATATTGGATCATGAGGTTTGTGAACGTTTCAAGTTGAAAGTAACAGTTTGTATTTTATATTTGTTGATTTCCGTTGAACTTAAAAATATTACCTTTTCATAGGGTTTAGTGGGAGATACTTTGTGGGCTTCCGTTTCAAATAATTCTTTGGTTTCTGTTGCTCGTCTTTTAAAACATTGCACATTTGAAGTGAAAGGAAAGGTAAGGTTCTAAACCCTAAAGTCTTTTAAACCTCTGTTCAATATTTTAGTTGGTTTTTCTGAGGTGATACATCTTTCCTTTTAACGAAGGGCCAATTTAAGGATGAATTTGTCACTGCTGGAGGTGTCCCACTGTCAGAGGTTTGCTCGTTCTCTCTCTCATTCTCTCCCTTTCTCCCCTGTATCTATTTGGGAATATGACACTATTTTCTTGCTTTTGTGAAGATCCATCTGAATACAATGGAAAGCAGAATCCAACCAAATCTATACTTCGCAGGAGAGGTAGTTACTTGTTATTCTTTGAGGATGAGTTGTCATATTAATTCTTGTAAATAACTTCACTTCGCCATTAGTGCATCAGTGTGGTTCCTACAATTTCAAAATTTAGATTCAATCAATTACATGATTCTGATCGCTTGATAAACAATTGCGTATTACTACATGCACGCATGCAATTTGTTTGTGAGTCCACGTGCATGTGTGTGTGTGAGTGAATTATGAGGCCATTCTGCACTGATCAAAACTCAACTGATTGCAGGTACTAAATGTTGATGGGGTGACGGGTGGTTTCAATTTCCAGGTAAGGAAGATGTGTTCTAAGCTATAAATGCTTCCCGGTCATTTTGTTGATTATTGTAATACTATCTCAAGGGAACCTAAGATGTGGTAATGCAGAATGTAGGTTTGACTGTTGTGCTGTAATTGAAATTTAGACAAACTGAAAAAATCAAAACACCTAAAGTAACTTTAATAGAAGCCTTCTGCTGAGTCGCTCTAGCCTCACGAGGAAAGAAGGAAAGAGAAGAGGCTGGTCTATTTTCATTTCATTTGTTTATCAAGGCTGGTCGTGACAAAGGCGTTGTCTTTGTTTCTTCTTTTCTCAGAATGCTTGGTCTGGTGGATACATTGCTGGCACCAGCATCGGTAGACTGGCAGGCAATGCTAATTTAGAGGGAGCCATACGAGTCAATAGAGTTTGAGAATATAGATATGCATTTTCTTTGGCTAGAACTAGAGATGTTCAAGTGCATGTTTGTACTGGATTTTCGGAGAAGGTTATCGATCCAATACACAGGGAAGGGATCCCAATTGACAGTCTTCTCTCCAATTTTTCCATGATGGCATGAATTTGGTCACCTTATCTAAAATAATTTTTCACATTTGACTACAGCATCTACTCGAGTCTTCTTTTCTTTTGTACAAAAGTTTATTTAGTACAAAGGAAGTCGTGGCTTGGAGATAAAGTTATAAAGGAAATGATTAAAGGTAATGAGACTTGAATTTCAAATCAATTGAATGTTATTTGCATAAAGTAATTGAGTTAAAGTTTGAGTTTATATCTATTCAAGTTTTTGTTATATTTTAGCTCATGTTTGATGCATAGGATTATTGATAGGGTACGATGCTAATTATTTTATATCATATTTGATTTGTATTTCAAAAATGGATACGGATTACATTGGCATATGATTATTCAATTTTTTTTAAGTGAAAAAAATTACTTTTAATTTATGAAATTAAACATATATGTTTAATTATATATTTAAAAATTATATTAATAATTAAAAAAAAGTAAATTTGACAAATAAATAAATTATTATATCTTAATTTTTGTAAACATTAAACACAAAATAAAATGATATTATTAAATATAATTTTAGTCATAATACTATCTTATTATATTTTATCATAATTTTGCATATCAAGCATGATTTTAAAGTTATTACAAATTTAACAGTTAATTAATGTTAATTAAAAATGAAACCATTCATAAAATTCAGTTTATATTAGACCCAGACCAACTTATTTTCCGTATACTAATATTAGAGGTGGTAAGAGTTGATCTAACTTGAAAAGTCCGTTCGTCAAATTCAGTTTAAATTTAAAAAAATGTCGAAAACTCAAATTCATTTAATTTAAATTTGAATTGATTAAAATTTAAATCAATTTGAATTTGACTAGATATGAATTAGATTTAATTTGAATTTAAATTAGTTTAAATTCAAAATGATCTTAGTATGAATCATTCAAAATATTTTATATCATATGAATTGAAATTAAATTAAATATAAATTTATTTTTTAAAATATTAATATAATTAAAAATAATGAATATAATATAAATTATTAATTTATTACAATTTTATAAATTCAAATTATCTTTTCGATATCTTTTCTATTATTATTTTCTTAGTTATATTTAAAAAAATTAAAAGTTCCTTATTTTCTTAATCTAATAATATAATAAAAATAATTAAATAGATAATTAATAATTTTAAAAAATCATACATGTTAAAATTTTAATAAAATAATTATAACCACAAAATAATCCGATTAAAATAAAAAATTAATAACTAATGTGAACAAATATAATTATATGAATTATTAATATAATTTTTAATAATAAACTAATAATTAATAATAAAATATCAAAAATAATATTAAGTATCAATCAATAAAAATACATTAATATTGTTTTATAATAAATAAAATTATTTTATATTTAACGTAATATAATTTTTTTTATTATTAACTTATAGCTTTTAAATCATTTAACTGTAATATTTTAATTGATAAAATATATAATAATTTATATTTTATTATTAACATCTATTTTTTATATACATCGAATATAAAATAAGATAATATTATTTAATCTAATCTTATTAGTAATATTATCTTATCTTATTATGCATAAAAACACCTTGAAGAGGCGTTTGGTTGGGGGAAGTTAGATTTCCCTCAAAATCTTACTTTTTTTAATTTGATTTTCACATTTAATTCATGATATTTGATTTTTAAAGGTATTCTAAGATTTCTTTCAAATCGAAATCAGAAATCCACATCTTTTATTGATTTTTTAAGATTTCAAAAGAAAAATTAATTTTGTCTCATATTTGAGCTCAATAATAATTTTTTTTTGTTTATTTTATCTTTGAAAATCAACGTAATTATATAAAAAATAAAGACTCATTTTGTCACGAAAATGGGCATTCATAATTACACAATGGGTAAAGGTACAATCCTAATCGCAAGCTTTGACATTTGGCACATGATTGAACACTTAGTATATTACATATAATAAAAATAATATTTAAAAATAAAATAAACGTAATAAATAATTGTAATTTTATGTTTTGACTTTTTTTTATTTTAAAAAATATTATCTTTTTTATATATGAAACGAAATAGATCAATTAATATAATAATAAAATAAAATAGATATTTTTTATAGCAACGGCGTTTGTTATATTGGAAATTTATTAATTGAGATAATATTATTTTATAATATTATATCATATTTTTCACTACGTTTATAATAATAAAACGTAATATTTGCAAACGAAGATCACCTTTCTTTTAAAAGAAACGTGGTCTTTAAATGTCATGTTAAAATTGAAATGCAGGGAAGATAAACTTATTTTTACTAGACAAGGACATGAATTTTTAAAATTTTTTTAATCAAAAATTAAGTTTTTACTTAAAAAAATGTAATTCTTGTAATTTTTTTAATCAAAGATTACGATTTTATTTTAAAAAATGTAATAAAATTTTTTTCAATCAAGGAGTACATTCTTGATTTTATTATATATATATTTTGTTCATAATAAACAAACTTAGTTTTAACATTATAAAAATAAAATCCTTCTTTTTTTTGGTTATTTAATAGTTGTCATGGTTTAATTTTAATAACATAATAAATAGTTAAAATGTTGGTCACGTGTTATTCATATGTAATAAAAGTCATTATAATAAAAAAATTTTATTATATAATCTAACTTTTTCTCTAGCCAAACATATGAATATAACATTTTTATAACATAAGAAATCACCTTTTGATAGAAATTCACACTTTTCTCCATAATAATTTTTTCTCTCAAAATCTAAAATTTCACAAACCAAATGTCTTATAAATTTTTTGTATTTATTCTCTTCCTCTTCTACTATTATTTTTCCCTTTAGTTCTCCCCTTTTTTTTTTTTTTTAGTTTGTTTTCAAGTTTTATGATTTTTGCTTTGTAATCCAAGAAACCTTCAATTTGTTACAAAAGTAACAAAAGGATAATTTAAAGTGTGGGCCTTAGATAATTTTAATTTGGTATTAAGTTTTATTCTTTAAATATTTATTGACGTTATTAGAGTTCTTATAAATTTTTTGATTTGTTTGAATTGGGTAGATTTTGTTTCTAAAGGTAGGCTAAACAGATTTTTGTTGGAGTTTTAGGTGATGGCATAATTGCTTTTAAGAAAGTGTTATTTACTGCGCAAAGCCAAGATTCCTTTTTATTATTTCTATTCCTTCATTTATTTTTTCTAACAATTTAAAGATAATTATGATAAATTTATATTTTGCAAGAGAAAGATATAAAGAAAATAAATTGGCATGATTTAGAGATCAATATTAAAGAAGGCTCAAGGTGTCAAATGATTAATGTTTTCATGGACTAAAATATTAATTTTCATAAAAATCTTCATTAAAGGTATGTATTTTATTTTTTATATAATTGCTAGTAATAAGATTGACTGAATGAGATAAACATGATAATAATTAATTTTATTAATGTATAAAGTCAAAACACAATATATAAAATATTGATTACATTGCATAAGTTTATTTATATACTGAAATTGCCTCAACAATTGGGTTTAATGAATTATATTATATCTATTTAAAAAATTGATGCTTATAAAGATTGTGATAAAAAAATAACCTAAAAACATAAAAGAGAAATATATGAATTGATCTATAATCAAAAGAATTATCATTTGTTATCGAGTAACGAATTAAACTAGATTCTAATGGAATGGTCGATTATTTAATTATCATGTCTTGATTATATATAGAACAGGTAAATTGTCTCATGATTTCTATAAAAACAATTGAAAATGGATAAAAGAATTTACCATGAAAAATTATATGTAAGTGGAAAATATATGAAAAAAAAAGATTTGACTGCAAGATTAGTTTTATTTTTAAATCATAGCACAAAAATTGAGATAATAAGTTAAGTCAAGTTATTTGTATGATTCTATCTTTGTTGGTTATTTATAAATCAAAGGTTGATATATTTTTTTTAAAATTCATTATTGGTTCAAAATTTGACTAGTGTTCAACTTTCATGAAAATCAATTAAAATAAATTGATGTATGTAAATAATTATTATTAAGATATGGTATTTTATGGATTAATTAGTAGATAATAAATTAAATAATTGTTATTATAAAAAACATAGGCAATGTGACATGCATTTTGCTTGCTGGATGCATTACACTTAGGCCTGTAAATGAATTGAATCGAGCTGAGTATTCCTATGTTCAAGTTTAGTTCAATTAGTAATAAATAAACTTAAAAATAATAAGCTCTTAATGAACTGCATAACATATTTTTAAGCTCGATTTGACTGTTTCGAATAAGTTTTAATCGAACACAAATGAGCTGTAGCTTTAAATCTCAATATTTAAACTTATAGCTTATTATAACCTAAAATAGTAATGCCCACAGCTACTAAATTTGTTAAAAGAATGATAAGCAGAGGGTGGGAATTTATAGGCTTTACCCATCTTTTGTTTTGGTTTTTAAGCGATATGGAATTCATTTGAATATTAACAGAAATCTAGTAGAAGAAGGGGATGGGAATATGTAGGCTTTACCTATCCCTTATTTTGGTTCTTAATCGATGTGGAATTCATTTATTTATGCACAGATGTGCAATAGTGGAATGGCATAGGAATTTGTAGGCTTTACTTATCTCTTATTTTGGTTGCTAAGTGATGTAGGATTCAAGATGTGCAGCAAAGATGGGAATTTATACAATTTACCCATCCCTTATTTTGGTTTTTAAACATATAGGATTCATTATGTAGGCACATATTCATAATAAAGGAGGAAGATGGGAATTTATAAACTTTACCAATCCTCTATTTTGATTCCCTACTGATGTGAGATTGTTAAAAATAGGTTTCAATTCTTTCAAACTTCATTCAAAGTTATTATTCAATTTTTAAGGATATAAAAAGAGTTATTTAGTAATAATATTTGTAAAAAGTTAAAACTTATTTTCATCTATGTCATGTATAATTTTTAATGATATAAATTTTATATAATAATTTGCATATTGATAAAAGATATTAAATATCAAAATAATCAACTTTTAATGTTTTAAACAAATTATAATCAAATTTGTTTACAAACATTAAACGAGATTGGTTACGAACATAAACGAACCAAATAGACCTCTGTTCATGTTTTATTCGTTTAACAACCGAATATAAAAATATTGTTCACGATTGTTTGTTAAATTTAATAAACGAACAAAAATCGAACATGTTCACGAATAGTTCGTTGAAAGCTTTGTTCGTTTATACTTCTAATTATACTAGAAGTGATTTTACAAAA